GTGAACCGAGTCGCCCGAGGAAAAAGAGAATTCAGAACGAAATGGATCAAAGTGGAAGACCACCACGAGGCCCAAGACGATGTTCAATATGCAAAGTTCCAGGACATGATAAACGAAGATGTCCAGGCCCGATTGGTCCGCAAAATCCGGGTCCTGATGTGCTGGACTTAGCTAATGCGACATAGTTTGATTTTATCATTTTTTTTCAAGCTAGTTGAGACTCTTACTTTGCAAGTAATTGTGTATTGTTGATTGAACGAAATGTGTATTGTTGCTTTTATCGTTCATTGGCTCGAATTTGGGTTAGAACCCAGAATTTTCAATCCAATCTCTTCTCTCCACTGTATTGTTGATTGAACTAATTGGGATTACATAAAGATAAAAGGCATAGTTCCAAGGGGATAGAAATAAAACCAAATTGAAACAACAATCAATTCGATAAACTAAGATAATAGGAATAGTTCAAATTACATAGAAATTAAATTCAACTCTCAAATATAACTCAAGGAAGTCCACGAGCTTCACCGGAACCCACGGTTTTCTTGCTCCTTGTACGACGATCGACGGGAGTATCAACAGGTGGTTGCGGTGGCAAGTTTCGAACTCGGGCCGAGGTAGTTTGGCGCTCGTCGGTGCTGTGTCGGCGGGGAATCGGCACTTCCGGGGTCGAGCGGGGGACATCCACGGAAGTACGGTGAGGAGTAGGAGGCCACTGCTGATGAGGGTGAATCCATGGCGTAAAATCGTGGTGGGCCGTCGTGGAGGAACCATCATGCCAAGTACCCGATGATGTATGGCGGGGAGATGGGGGGTAGACCGGGCGGTAATCGTAGTAACCTCCTTGGTGGGGCGATGGGGGGTAGATCGGGCGGTAATCGTAGTATGCTCCATGGCGGGGATCGTTGTATGAGATCGGGGTGGGACTCGGAGGGGTTTGATGGTAGGTCGAGCGGGATCATAGTACGAGCCTTGGTGGGGAGTTTGGGTGGAACTCGGGCCGGCACCTTGGGGAGAACTCGGGCCGCCACCTTGGGGAGAACTCGGGCCGCCAACTTGGGGGGATCTCGGGCCGACACCTTGGGGAGCAACCAATGGGGGCGGCAGTTTCCACCCGGGATATGGCGTGACTTCGGGCACGTTGGGCCTTTCCCGGACCCTCTTGCTTGGCTTCCTCTCGTATGGTGGTGGGGGATCGGGGACATCAACTTGTACCGGAGGTGGCGGGGGTGCGGGCATCGGCGGATATCTACGATGATCCCGACCCTGAGCTCTGATACAGCCAAGAAGACTGTTTGCCATCCTCCTGATGAAGCTCACATCTTCATTTCCCAGCTCCATTCTCCCGGTGGTCATGTCTTTAATCCGCTCAATCCCGTCAGCCTAAATCACAAAACAATAAGTTAGGAAACAATTTAGGAACCAAAACAATACATTTAATTATGTAGAGTGGAATATACTTACTAATGCACCATCGGCAGCACCCTCCGGAGTCATGTAACGGACCGATGTTTGCCGATAACGATCCAAGTATGGGTCATGATACCCCATTCGACCCACTGCTGATGGAGTGACAATATCTTGCATTTGTCGGTTCGCCCACATGTTGATGAATTTCTCCAGCTTCAAGGGCCAATCTCGAGTACCTTGCCGCCCATCTCGACCATGGAAGGCCTTTTGACTATCAGGGACCTCCAACGGAATGCACTGCTCCCGACCAAACTGACGGAGGCACCGATCCGGCAAGTGCCACTCCATGGTCCCAAAACAAATTAGAGGGACCCTCGTGCACCATTGGCCGATATGCTCGGCGAATTGCTGGAGATGCCAATGAACGATGTTCTCCGGGTATGGATCTTTTTTTTGAAAAGTCGGGTATGGATCAAAGATGATCTACACGCGCAAAATGAGTAAATTAAGATAGTAAGAATTGGAAAAATACATGTCTTCCATGGTAAAAAGGTATAAATGGATCGAAGTATAGAAGTTACCTCTCCTTCCCAAAGTCGCTCAAACCTCCTCCGATACTCATCCAATTTGTGTTGGGCAAGGTTGTCACAAGTTGTGTGTCCGAGCCACCTTATTAATAAAACAATAATCAAAATTACAATAAGCTAAAACACAAGGGAAAATCAACCAAGAAAAAACATGATGGGTATGAGAAGTTTACCTTGTACCATAAGCTTCCCCTCTTAGGGGATGATCGATTGGCCAATCCCTGTCGGGACGTTGTACTGGTGCAATCCATGGCATATGCTCCCAAGTCCAAAATTGGACGATGAACATTGCGCCGCCGACCTCCCTCACAGCTTTTAGAGAGGCATTGCACAAGTTGTGGTAGATATTAGCTAGGCAAGCGGATGCCCAACTATACTCCCCCATCTCCTCCCAACTACCGAGGATGATCCTAAGCCATCCACAACTAAGGAGATTGCTTGCTTTTTTGGAGAAGAACACTCCTCCGATCATGCCAATGAGATAGACCCGAGCATATCTCTCCTTCTCATCCTTCGGACTTTCCTCAGTTAGGGGATGACTCTCGTAATGGTCTCTAAAGTACTTCGTCAACCAAGTAATTGACACTTGGTGTTTCCTCATTGGTGGCATGCGATCGGTCGCATCAACGCACCCCTTCACTGGTACTTTTACTCCCAAAACACTACAGATGAAATGAACCCAACCGGGCATACCGTCACAATCATCGGGGGGATGATCACTCACGCACACCGGTTTGCCGTCGATGGGGAGATGGGTTAGGATGGCGACATCCTTTAGCGTGATGGTGGCCTCTCCTTCTCTAAAGTTGAAGCAATGGGTCTCCTTTCTCCATCTCTCAACTAGGGCGGTGATGAGTTGGCGATCAACTTCGATGCCGTTAAAATGCCTAATCGAGTCCAACCGTGCCCTTTTGAGAAAGGGCAAGATAGCTGGGTGGAATGGGAGCACATTGGTCGTACCCCTGTAGCGGATTATTGTTTGTGCCTCCTAGGGAAAAATTACACGTTAATTATTATATATTAGTAAGGGTTTATTCCTTATACCTAAATTAATTAAATTAAATTATTTAACTTCAAGCATAATTTTATTATCATAAAAAGACATTTCATATAATTAACATAATAGCATTCTAAATTAATAATAATTTAAAGAGATACATACACATTATCATAAAACAAACATCCTAAATTAATTAACATAATAACATTCTAAATGAATAATAATTTAAAGAGATACATACATATTATCGTAAAATAAACATACTAAATTAACTAAATTAAATGACATTGTTAATGAATCATAATTTAAAGAGAAACATACATATTCAAATGTTTGAAATTAATAAAATTCCTTTTGTACACATCAAATAAATCGTAAGGGTTGTTTGGTAAATTATTTAATCGTGTTGGTTGTTTTAAATAATTTAATCGAATACAAAGCAACACTCGTTAGACTCTTAGAAGAGGTATACATCTTCTTAGAAACGCAGTCTTTTTGACAGAAAAAGGGGGATCTGAAGATCTCTTAATACCCGATTTTCCCAGGGAATTGGAGGATATGATAATCGCTTAAAACTCCATTTCCTTAGACGTGCATCTCTTTATAAAGAGTCGAAGTAAGTGGCGCTATGTATTCGATTAAATTATTGAAAACAACCAACACGATTAAAAATTGAACATAAATTTATTTTATATTCCACTAAATACATTAACAAAATAAAAGAAGGACAAATGGTAAAGAATTGTATGTACCGGGTGAGCGTTCCAAACATCCCTTGACCGATGGTTGGGTTGGTCGTACAAGTCGGTTGGATCCAACGGTCCTTGCTCGAGATAATACCGTTGGTTGTATATATCCACGTCCTCCCCAACCTACGAGAAAATAACAACGAGGTTAGTACATAGATTAATTAAAAAGCTTATAACAACAACAAAAATTAAACCAGAATAATGAGTACGTACCGCTTGAAATTCATCAACATAAACTCCTTCTCCTTGCCACCAATCGGCCATTTTTTCGGCGCAATTCGGACAGAGCTTCGGCTCGGCTCGGCGGGTTTTGAGGAAAAAACCTAAGAAATGTTTTCTGATGGCAGATCGGACTTAGCCGCAACCAACAGACCACTATTTCCTAGGCTTTTGGGAGGGGGAGGGTTTAGAGAGAGAAGGAAGAATGGGTTGTGGTGTGAAGAAATGAGAGGGGAAGGGGGGGGGGGTATTTATACCCATCAGATCGCACCCTCCAGGGGCGATCGGGTAATTTTGCCCTCGCGCGGATCACTCCCTTCCGATGCGATTTGCGCTTCCCTAGGCGTGGATTGCTCCCTTCCGATGCGATTTGTGCTTCCTTGGGCGCGGATTGCTCCGTTGGCAAGCGATCTGGAATCCTCGGCGCGGATCGCTCCGCTGGCAAGCGTTGAGCAGCCCGATCGTCCCTCCATCCAACGATCTTGAAGACCTCTCTGATGCGTTTTATATGTAGAACACATCTTTCCGAAGCAGCACTAAATCGCACTGACCTAGTGCGATTTGTTATGTGGAACGCACCCCTCTGATGCGTTTTATATGTAGAACACATCTTTCCGGTGCATTTTACCTTTAAAAAGCATCTTAGGGGTGCGTTCCAAAAAAATTGGTGCTAATTTTGTAATTTTTTTTATATGGGTGCTAGTTTTGTAATTTTTTTTTAAAAGTGATATATTCGAAAAATCCCGTAATTTTCTGGCTTCTTTAAACATTCAACCAAAAGGTTTTTTTTTTTAACGAAAAGGCAATCTACCAACTTCCAGCATACAACCAGACCAGAAAACAACCCTACCAAAACAAATTAAAGGTTACAACAAAAGGGGAAGACAAAATTCTCCAAATAACAAATTCACTAAGACTAACTCCAACCCTGAAAGGGGAATTTAGCTCCCCAAATGGCCAAATATGGCTTTTTAGCTCCCCAAACCCACTTTTCACTCCAACCCTATAAAAAGCTAAATTTAGCTTCCCATTTCCATTTTTCAATTTATTTCAATAAACCATACTTATTTGACCTCTAATTTTTATATTTCACTTTAATATTTTCATAACTCGTTATTAGTTTTGAATACAAATTTTTCGATGTAATTTTTTTTAAATTCTGAGATAATTTTTTTTTTAAAAAAGTAGTCGTTAAAATATTACCGTTAAAACTTCGGGACCACTCCAAATATGACCGTTTTTTTGTATCCGTTACTTTACGACCGTTTTTTTGTCATTTTTTGCACCAAATGTCTTTATAAATGACAGTTCTTCATTTTCATCAACTCAACTAAAACTTCTTCCCATTTCTAAAACAAACACATTCATCATGAGTATCTCAGATAGCTCATCGTCTGGAGAAGAAGAAAACGAAGAGTACGAAAGGTTTCACCACCTACGTTTGAGTTTGATCGGTCGGAGGCTGGCTGAAGGTGCATCAAGTCGCCGTCAAACTACAAGCCGACGTCACATTGATCGTGAGAGGGTCGAATGTAATCGACGTCTTATGAGGGATTACTTCGATCCAAATCCAGTATACAATGCTCGCATATTCAGAAGGCGCTATCGGATGCAGCCAAGATTATTCCATCGCATTATGGGCGACATTGTGAGGTTTGACCCCTCATTTGCTCTAAGGCGTGATAGCTTTGGTCAATTGTCACTATCTCCAGAGCAGAAGCTTACTGGTGCGATGCGCATGCTAGCATATGGTTCTCCAGCTGATCAACTTGATGAGTATGTTCGTATGGGTGAGAGCACCTTGATGGAGGTCTTCAGAAAGTTTTGCAACAACATTATCAACATGTACGGGGCCACATACCTTCGCGCACCTACTCCTGCTGATTTAAGGATCTTACTCCGTAAAGCCTCAAGTCGTGGCTTTCCTGGAATGATTGGATCAATTGACTGCATGCATTGGGAATGGAGGAATTGTCCAAGTGGTTGGGCAGGACAATACACCGGCCACATGCATAGGCCAACAATCATTCTGGAGGCGGTGGCCTCCTATAACACATGGATATGGCATGCTTTCTTTGGGACACCTGGATCGAACAACGATATAAATGTTCTGGGGATGTCACCAGTGTTTGATCGTATCGTCAATGGAAGCGCTCCACATGTACGATTTGAGGTAAATGGTCATGCTTATGATCAATGTTATTATTTGGCTGACGGTATTTATCCCTCATGGTCGACTTTAGTGAAGACCTTCAGCAATCCAAGGTCAAACAAAGAGGCTTTGTTTGCTCAACATCAAGAAGCACACCGCAAAGATGTGGAACGGGCATTTGGAATCCTCCAAACAAGATGGGCAATTGTTCGTGGCCCTGCAAGAGCTTGGGATGTTGTCACACTTAACAATATAATGCTGACGTGCATTATATTACACAACATGATAATCGAGGATGAGCAGGTTGATTCTGATGACGAGATGGATGATGACCTTGATTATGAGGTCCATGCACAACCTGAACCAATCAACCGACACCAATCAACTCTAATTGATTACTTGGCTAGAAATAACAGGCTTCGCTCATCTACAACACATCATGCGCTTAGAAATGACTTGGTTGAGCATCTTTGGAATTTGCACGGCAATATCTAGCATTGTTTTACTTCATGTTGCTTGGTTGTTTGTATTTCAAGTTTCAGTGTGTGATTTTATTTCATGTTGCTTGGTTGTTTGTATTTCAAACTTTCAATAACACTTGTTTTTATTACACATGGAATTGCTCAAAGTTCAAAGAGTACACATGACACATGAAAATAACAAAGTTGAAAGAGAACACACAACACATTAAAGATGTAAAGGCAATAGAGTACAAATAGGATTTTCTTCTAATTAATAATCCATGACAGGAAAGTAATCGCCATCTCCTCCAACACTTTCATCGCCATCTCCTCCACCACTTGCATCGCCATCTCCATCTCCGCCATCACTTGGATAAGAGTTGGGATCATCTTGATCGTACCCATAAATGTCATTTTGTTTACGCCTCTAAAATCTCTTCTTTCTTGGTGTCATCTTTGACAAATCCTTCTCCAGAATAGCTACATTTTGTTGAAGTATTGCAGCTTCCCTCTCTTTCTTCTCCACAGCCCACTTTTCCGCTTCACGCTCCCTCACTTGCCTCTTGTATGCCCATTCCTCTTTCTCCTGCTCTAGTCTCCTCTCTTGAACATTCATTTTTCTGTTTTCGTACTCCATCCTAGACTTTTGCCTCTCTCTCATATCATTACCAAACTCTAGCAGTTGAGTAGTGTATATGTCTGACGATTCAGCAACTACCTTACCTTTCTTCTTTGCTGCCTTTTGTTTGTCGCGTCCTTCAGGGCGAGTCAACACGAAAGGCGTAGCTCCTTCATCTGGTAAGTCATCAAGGCCTTCCACGGGAGATGATTGAGAACCAAAACCTGTTGTAGAACTTTGGGAACCTTGCCCCATAGGTGGAATGGGACTAACAAGCAGGTCAGGATTGGAGTACCACTTTGGACAATTTCGGAGAATTTCGAAACAATGCTCAAAATCAAAAGCCTTGTTCCCATTCTCTTGCTTATATATTGCTCTTGCCTCCTTTTCCTAATAAAATATGTAATACATGGGTTAGAGAAGTTTATATTGACACATATAAAAATAAGAAAATACACAAGTTGAGGGTCCGAAAGAATACCACATCAAACTGGTTCGTGCCACTCGATTGATGCCTTTGTGCTCTTTGCAAAACTCCCTTCCAAGCATTGCAGTGATAGCAAATAATCCTCATTCGGGATTCCATTGCAACAGCAGTACGAATTGTAGTAGGATCCCATTTTTGATGTTCTGCCGCCACTCTTTCCCACAACCTTGTATACTTCTGGTTGGTGCCAACCGCTCCATCTTCTGATATCGACACCCAAGCTCTGCACAAGATTTCATCTTCATTCGGACGCCAATTAGGTCCTCTCTTGCCTGTCATATTCCTATTTTGAGAGACGATAACAATTGAATTTTGAGAGAATGCGATTTATGCTCTGAGAATGAGTGAAGAGAAATCTATGAAGAGTGCTGTAATATATAAGAAAAAATATGGCCGTTAAAATATGACCGTTTTTTCGTCACTACATCAATTATTTCAAATTTATATTTCAAATTGAATCACAAACCACCAATGAGAATAGAGAAAAAAAATCCAAAACAAATTGGCTCCCCAAATTCCCAACCAACAAAAGTTAAAAGAAAAAAAAAAAAAAAAAAAAGGGAAAACAGGTCAGCTGGAAGGAGAAGGCGCCGGACGCGCGCCTGGGGCGCACGCGCGCGGGGGAAGGCGCCTTCTCCTTCCAGCTGACCTGTTATCCACTTTTTGGCAGCCAAATATCACTCCCCACCCCAAAACCCAGCCATATTTCCCTTCCAAAAACCCAATACCCATTTTTGGCTTCCAATTTTTTTGTGGGTTGGAGGAAGAAAAAAAGCCAAATATGGCTTTATAGCAATTTGACACCATGGGTTGGAGCTAGCCTAACTACTTTCATACTGTCATGTCATCCCACAAACATCTAGTATGAAAACAGAGAGATCTGGTAGCCACAGCCACTCCAATAACTCTTTCATCTTCAAAATCAATTCTGGAATCAAAAGCATCTTCTTCCCACATTATCTTCGGCGACTCTTCCTCCGTGCCTCACTCACCACCAAAGCAATCTTCGTACTTCACAACTCCTAAATATGTGAACAGACTACAGAGCTCTGCTCAACCTCCAGCAAGAACAAAAGCCCAATCTGAAGGGGAAACCACTGTACAAGTTGCAGAAAATAGGACTAAATAAAATTATGATCCCTCCATTCATGGCAAGACAAAGGAAACTGGCATATCATATCAATCTCAACAACCCATTTCACAAGCTTCTAAAATCTGCTATCCTGCACAACTGGATGATCCATGTAAATAAAGACTTTTGAATGATGGTTCCATACTTTCTTTACTGAGAAAGTTGGCATTAACACTCGGTCCTACTGAACCCCATGCTAGGACTTTTGAATAGAACAAGCTGCCAATTGCTTTGGTTTCAGAACTTAATTCCAAGCCCAAGATCCTGGAGTTTTGACCTCCCAAATGCTTGAGAACGTAACCAATACTTTCTTAACCAAGCTATACAAAGGGACTCTCTGCAGAACCGGCCAGATATGGCGCGACAGGCAACCAGTATTCCAACTTCTCAAGCCTTTAAATCCTTAACCACCCTCTTCCGGGAAAGAAACCAACTCCCAATGAATCTTATCTCTTTTCTTCTCAGACCCCGAAATCAACAAGAAATTCGAAAAAAGACGCTTTCTTCCTTAACAATCTTGAATCGAAGTGGAAAGATATCCAATGCTGTGTTACCATCCAAAACTGGAGTAATAAGCTTCAACTTGACAGAACAGGAGAGCAACTTTGGCTGGCAGCCCTGAAAATAGTTGGTAAGAATCTCTTCGGATGCATCATACATCTGAAAGTCTTTTCCTTTATAACCCTTGGGGTTTTGGTGACAAGCATTTAACAAGATTTCTTGATCGGCAATCCTAACCCTCTGGGTGGGTTAAAGAGTAAGCCAGTAAGAACTCTATCAGCAGATTCAGATATGATTAGTTATCAATCAAAAAATTTAGGGCAGTTTCCCTGAATTTTAACGACGACAATTTAACAACGCGAAAATATCACGAGAGCTGCCCTTGAATATCAACTCTAGGCCGGGTGAAATTGGGCTCTCATACGCAAAATAGTGAGATCCCATTTGGATCGGCCGTCACAACAAACAACCACGACTGCAAATCAAAGCAAAAAAGAAAGCATTTTCGGATTCAGATGCGAGGAAATAAGGATGGAGTGAATGTACGAGTCCTTTCAACTACGATTCTGAGGAAGGAGAAGCCTCAAAATCATGAGAAGGAAAGGAGTAACAGAGAACGTCTCCCTGATTTACGCCCGCAACGGAACAGAGACGGCATAGAAAGAGCTCGCTCCGTTCTCTCAAAGGCGATGAGAAACTAGAAACCCTAGCAGGAATTATTTATACTAAACGGCCGTGGACAAGTTCCTATCCTGACCCCCAATTTTTCAAATCCAACAATCATTTTCGTCCAATAGTTTGCGTTAGGGTTATTTGGGGCGCGAGGCCTGCTTCCGCTTGGGCTTAAAGCCCATACGCGTAACACGTATAGGTGAAGGGGAGGGGGAACGGCGATTTGCAGGGAGAGGTAGAGAGAGAATTAGGGACAATAGTTGTGGGGAATGGGATTAGTTGCTATAGGGTTAGCACCATACTAACTAAATTAATAGCAATAAGATTAACGGTCAATGGTGTTGACCATCTAAATTGACAGTCAAAGCATGTGTCGGGTTAATTTAGTCTATATGCTGCTTTGTTGAGGCCAAGATGTTAATTTCTGAAACTACGTGCCAAAGTTGATTATATGATCATAGTTCGGGCTAAAATAAGGTATTAACCCATTTAAGTAGTAGTAGTTTTTTAAAACTAGTAGTAGTTTTTAATAGTACTTTTCCACGTAAAAATTCTTTTTTTTTATGAATCGATATACTTTCATTCCATCAAAAAGCAGTGCTGGCAACACCCTTGCCAGCTAGGGAAAAATGGGAACAGAAGAAAAGGTAAAACACAATAATTCACCTATAGAGCTATCAAACCAAACAAAACCAACCTACTACCTATGGAAGCACTTTACTCGGGGGTAAGAGACCTGAAGAACTAGGTACCAGAAGCCCAGAAACTCGCCAACTCTTTAGGATCCTTCACCAACACACAAACTTCGCTTTTTATCAGCTGAACCAAAGCCTCAAGAGACCGCTTCTGATCACCAAAAGCCCTCCTACATCGCTCTCTCCACACATGGCTCACCATAGACTGCCAAATCAGTCTCCCATGCATTGCAACCACTGTCTTTGCACCAAGCTTTTGTGTAGCCCAACTTAGATTCTCCTCCCAGCTCTGAGGAAAGAAAGAACAAAATCTCCCCAGCAACTGCTGATGAACATCAGAATAGTAGGGACAGATAGAGAACAGATGGTCCCTTGTCTCTCCTGCATGATCACAGAGGAAGCAGTAATCAGAACCTACAAATCCCCATTTCTTCATCTTGTCTTTAGTTTGGATTTTATTGTGTATAATAAACCACGTTAGGAATCTATTTCTAGGGATAGAGAGTCCCTTCCAAATAAGCTTATACCAGCTTACTCTACTGTGTTCTGTTCTAACAGATTCCCATATCATCTTAATGGAGTATCTCTTCATTGGTTTATCATGTGCATCACTCCTTCCTTCCAACTAAATAGGTTGGGGATCTTGTTTCTAATTCTCAGCAACCTCCCCCAGTTCCATGATCCACTAATATTGACATTCCAGAAGTCCCTGCCTTTCAACTTGTAGGCTTTGACCCAAGCAACCCACAGTGATCCTTGTTGCATCATAACCGCCCAAATCTGCCTGTAAACACAAGCATAATTCTAGGAAACCAGGTCCCTCAGACCCTGACCTCCTTATTTTTTTTGGGATTGCCAAGTACTTCCATGCCATCTTAGCTCTAAGTTTGAGACCAGGACCAACTGACCAGAGGAAATTACTACAAATTCTCTCAACCTCCTGAATAACCACCTTGGGAAGCATAAAAACACTCATCCAGTATTGTGATATGCTGTAAAGTACTGACCCAACCAGTTCCACTCTAACTGCATAGCTCAGGGACTTTGCCTTCCAGCCCTGCACCCTTTTTGTGATTTTATCGATTAAAGGTTTGCATGCATTTACTGTCAACTTGCCAGCCACAAGAGGAACCCCAAGATATCGAACTGGAAACCCCCCAAGCTGATACCCATATCTATTAGCTCTGACTACCATCTCCCCCTTTTCCAAACCTCCAAAAAATATTTCACACTTGCTTGGATTGGATTGAAGCCCTAATAGCTTGTGGAACTCACTCAAGACCCTTTGAACACTCTGAATCCCATAGTTGGACCCATCAGAGAATACCAACAAATCGTCAGCAAAACATAAATGAGTCAGGCCTATTCTCTTACACATAGGATGGTAGGGGAACCTGCCCATTTCAGCTTCCAAGTCTAAGAGGCACGAAAAAACCTCCATTGCTACAGCAAATAAGTATGGGGAAAGGGGGTCTCTCACACGCCAAAACACAACACCAAACTGCGACAAAGTATAATCGCAATCCGGAATGCAGTAAAGTGCAAGTTCTATTATCAACCCGGGGTCTAGATCTACTGCTTATTCCGTGATTATCTATTATCTAGCCAACTAAGTTAGGGATTGTTGTTCTAAGCAAAAGCAGAAAGAAAGCAGGAATTGGTACGGTTTTCTCAAGCAAAGAAGAGTCACTCGGGAATGAGTCCCCCTAGCTCCTTAGTTAGGTCTCAATTGTAATTACCCTGGGTTGATTTACTGTTGATTAGACTGCAGAAGATCCGATAGTAGCTTGGAATCTCTTAAGCTCACCAAGCCCTCTCAGTCTAACTACCCGGCAGACGACTAGTCTTCACCGGGATAGAAAGCTGAAGTAATAAGCACAAAACTCCACTACTGGAATTGGATTCCAGTACAAAGCAGTAAACTGGCTAACTCTCGTATAGCCAATCTCCTACTACCGAATGATGAGGCTCTAACAACCTAATCAGATTCTATTTATCTCAGGTTGCAGCAGAAATCAAGAAAAGCTGATCAGACTTCAATCAATTCACTAAAACATGCATCATTCGATTAAAACCAAACAGTATAATCATCCCAAGTCATTACAATCGAATCCCTAACACATGGAACTAGGGTTCTTCATACCCAAGTGAGAGAAGGGTTCTACTCCATAGAGAGAGAGAGGAAAACAGAATACAAAGCAGTCATACTCATAACAATGGGAAGAATATGCTCTGGGATGATGATTTCCACTCCTATGACGATCTCCAAGCTCGATTTGATGAAACCCAGCTCCAAGATAGCTTCTAGGATGTGTTCTTCGCACTTTCTCTCTCTAGGGCTCTGTTTTTGCTTTGAAAATCCGGTTCTCTCACTTGTGGCCCGAAATTGGATAAAAACCAGAAATTCCCGACTCACACGGGCAGGCCACACGGTCGTGTGGCATACCCAGTTGCCCGTGTGAGGTCAAAACGCCGCGTTCCGATTATGTGGGTTTCAGGCTTCCTACATGGCCAGGGGCACACAGCCGTGTGGAATGCCCAGCCTGCCCGTGTGAAGCCTCGCAGAATTCCACACGCCCAAATTACTCCTGCACACGGCCGTGTGAGATTTATTTGTGCCCGTGTGAAGGCTCGCACAATCCCACACGGCCACATTGGTCACTTGCACGGCCGTGTGGGTTCTGTGTGTGCCCGTGTGGCTTCCTCAGCGACTCGCTTCGCGTCCGATCTTCGTCCAATCGACCCCGAACTCGCTCCTAAACCTTCATTCACTTACTAGGACATGAAATATCACAAACAAGCACAACCTAGCGTGAAATCGGCCTAAAACACGAGAATCAACACCTCAAACGGCTCCAGAATAAGGGTAAAAACATGTGCAATTAACGGCTTATCAAACTCCCCCACACTTAACCATTTGCTTGTCCCCAAGCAAACCAAGTCAGACACAAGGTAAGCTTACATATTTCAATCATACCAACCTTGGGGACAAATCATATAGGCACAGAACACGTGAATCATATTGGTTTTCAAACATCAACACATGAACAACCTCAATAGCAACCTGGACAACCACCACAGAAGACATTCGAGTGCAGCAAAATCGAGTAAAGGAGAAGTCTCCCTTCTGTTCATCAACCAACCTAGACTTGACTCAACCACTTACTCAAGACAGTCAACTCATGCATAAAACTCAAGACATCAGAATCAAGACCGAGCCATCTAGGTCCTCACTGGGTAAAGAGTGTAAAGAACTAGGAAATGAATCGCTCACTCTCGACCAGTGGGGTTGATGACTCGGTATTTGCACATGTTTTCCCCTTTGTTTCTTGATGTTTGAGCTTGAATTATTGCGTCTTTGGCCTATTTTATGCTAGGTTGTGTTCCTTTGTCCCATTTCAGGTCCTAGCACATAAAGTGAAGCATAGGCGCAAGTTTCAAGTCAATCAGAGATCAATTGACGATTCGAGAGAGGAAACTCGGGCATGACCTGAAGAAGAATGGATTTCTACCTCACTTTATGGACAAAGAAGCATGCAAGCTTGTTATGAAACGAAAGAGGACGAGACTACGAGCGTCTGGGATCAAACGACGACTGATTCAGAGTCCGGACGAGGGAGAAACGAAGCATTAAACAAAGGCTGAGCAAGCTGCACGGGCAGACCAGGGAGGCTGCACGGCCGTGCACGTGAGCAATATGGCCGTGCGCCTTATGCCGAGGACACGCACGGGCAACCCCTGAAGCTCGCACGACCGTGCATCCTGGCCGTGCGAGAGGTCTGAAGTTCGACTAAATGACACGCTGCGTTTTGAGTTGCACGGCCAGAATGGTGATATGCACGGCCGTGCTCCCTGGCCGTGCGAGTCGGGATTTCCTGGTTTTAAGCCAAATTCCGAACCAAAGAGTGGGGATTGGAGTTTTTGAGAGAGAGATCAGTTCCTAGAGAGAGAAAGTGACGAGCAAGAGTTCCCAAGTGCCCTAGATTGATCTTCAACACCATTGGAGGCCAGCTTGAGCTTGGAGAAGTGCCGATCAACGTCCAGAAGCAGGAATCCATCCTTCGCAGTATGAATTCCGTGTCTGATTCTGCTTTTGCTTTCTTCTCTATGGAGTAGTTCTCCCATTCATCTGGGTATGGAGAACCCTAGATTTGTATGTTAGGCTTTGATTGTATGAACCCAAGTACTGATTCTATGATTTGATTATATTCGATTGAGGTTTGAATGATTGAATGACTTGAATCCTGATCAAATTCCTGTTGTTTCTGCTTTAACCTAGAATGAGAATATCTGCCTAGGTTAATAGAGTATCCTTGATTGAAGGTAGGG